TCGTCCGACTCGCCGCGCGTGGCAACTGCGTGTCGACTGGCCATGTGAAACCTGCATATACAGTCTTGTTCGCTGCACACGCTGGGGCGTGTCAGGTGGGGGGGGGGGTGTAGGGTGGGGGGGGGGGAGTTGATTAAGTGGCGCCAGCCAATTTTCCACCATTTGTGTGAAGAACGGGATGACGCCGCGCCAAGCTACACCTCCCCCCCCCCCCCACCTGACACGCCCCAGCGTGTGCAGCGAACAACACTGTATATGCAGGTTTCACATGGCCAGTCGACACGCAGTTGCCACGCGCGGCGAGCGGACGAACCTACTGTTACACACACATGTAGAATCCTGAACAGGTCCTGGGTTGAGTGATTTTGGGAGGGTTCAACGGTTAGCCATGTGCTTACCCTCCTCCCGGTTTTCGGGAGCAGTCGAAGTCCTACACAGCAACAATAGATCCCTGCCCCAGCCTCCCTCTTTGCTGACGGGAACTTTTCGGGGAGAGAACTGAGGTGTTTTTGGAAAAAAGGGAGAACGAATTGGGGAAATGTCAGTGGGTAGGTAAAGAAGGGGGTCGTACCAGTGGAGGAGATTGGGAAAGGGGGTCACATTTTTCTGAAAGTTTTCCCAGCGACCAAACATTCCGTGGTGCTAAGTTAGGTTTTCGTGTTTTTTTTATTATCAAAAATTTATGTTGTTTCATTTCTACTGCGGCTTATACGACTTATTCCAGATGGTTTATCGTCGTGTGTCTCGTGGTATGCTGCATGCGGACAAGGTACTGTTGGCCTTGTTACTCATGCGAATTTCCCTACGCTCTGTGGGTGGCGAACCATCATACGACGCTCAATGGGATCTCCTTCTTGGACGCAGTGAGCTGTTCGCATCGAAGACGGCCCATCAATCGCCACCAACAGCTCTACCGTATCTCACTCCTCAGCACATGGGAGCGCTGAATAAAGCGCAGAAGTTGCCAGGCTTCGAGAATGTATGTGCTCAGTATGATTCGCGGGAGAAATGTCTCTGAACACCCTTTTTTCCAGATCATTGACGTTATGTGCGCTCAGTCAGCGCAAATCAAGCAATGGATGGCAATGGATAACCCAGAGGTGGCAGTGCCAGTACTATGGGAGGATCCTGAGCAGAAATTGAGTGAGTCCCTGGACTTTTACCCTAATGTTTTTGACGTTTTTTGAAAATTCCGAAATTTTTCAGCAAGTATTGGTGTGGCGATGAACCAGCTGATTGTGGTTCACTGCCTGAGATCCGACCGTCTAATGGCCAGCGCTCATCGTCTGGTATCAGCAGCGTTTGGTGAAGGCTTCATGCAACAGGATAAGGTTATCGATCTGCATGACATAATCGACAATGAAGTGAGTTTTTGAAAAAAGTTGTAAAATTTTTGGGGCAGTTTGGGATGGGGGAGGAGGGAGGAATTTTGCACTTTCGCTGCTTCCTGTCATCGTGTTCATTGCTTCAGGGGGGGGGGTTGACAGGTGTTTAAAGAATGGACATGTAGCTCGTCACGACAACGAGAAGCACCGAATGCAAAATGCCTCAATCCCTGACTAAACTGCGCCAATTTTTAGCGGCTTGGTACCTTCACCCTCCTTAAAAATGCTACCAATATATTTTTCAGGTGTCCTCATCTGATCCGGTACTGTTGTGCTCGGCCACGGGTTACGATGCCTCGGGTAAAATTGAAGACCTCGGTGTGCAAACGGGTCGTCCTGTTACTTCAATTGCGATTGGTTCGTCAGAAGGGTTCAGTCAGGCTGATGCTGTAGGTTTTTGAGCGTCTATCTCTTCTTATTTACGTGTTTGGGGCTCTTTGCCTTTGACTGTCCCATTTTCCGAAGTACGGGCCAGAGTTGGGCCCGGCCTGTGGGACATTTTTAAGGTTTGCATCGATGACTGCCGATGTTTCATGGAGATGGAGACCAGTGAAGTCATGTAAAGCCTCACAGCAGATGAGCGCCGTTTACACCTGACAAGAGTTTACAGATGTCTCCAAGCTGAGACGTGTAGGTCAACAGGAACTATCAAAAGAAACTAGCGAATCTGCTAAAGTCCCTCCCAAGCAGAACAACGACTAGATCTTTATCGACGTAGACTGGAGAAGTGTGCCGAAATAATTTGGCTACAGCGTTCCTCTGAAGGTAGTTTGATTCTGTGAAGAGGAATGTGTCATCCGACTGACACGAAAAAGGCTGGAGAAGTGCTACGGCCATTTTTGTGCCAACCGAGTGTTATACTCGTCTTCAGAGGGTTAAACTACCTTCGGAGAAATTTTCTAGCCAAACTCACCTTCTTGACACCCTCTGATTTGCCTCGACAAACATCTAGGCGGCGTCCGTCTTGGAAGGGAAGGGATTTTGTGCGTTAACTTGTTTCTTTTGTTAGTTCCTGTTGAAGTACATGCCTCACCTTGCCTGTAAAATTGTCAAAATGCTCACTCTACTGCGCAGCTTTACAGGAATTTACCTATGAAAACCGCTTCTGGTGTGGAATTTTTGACCAGATCTATCCAAGTACTGTCATGATCCCTGCAAGCGATAGGGCATACGAGGCGGCGGGTATTGGAGCTCAGTTAGGGTGCCCTTTTTCCATTTGGCGCCACTGAACCCTCTAAGATTGATGGTGAACTTGTCCTCCCTATGCCCCAAGCCATGCCCTCTCACACGGGGCCCGTTTGCAGGGATCGGTAGTGGACAGATTTCGGAAGAAATCTATGCCAAATTTCTAGAAGTGGGGAAGCAAAGAGTAAGTAGTACCATATTTTATTAAGTTTTGCAAAATCCTGTTCTCAAATCGATTACTATTGTTCAGGCACTCACGGCAGCGTCGAAATCCGGACGTTGGGTGCTGCTCAAGAACGTCCATTTGGCGCCACAATGGCTTGGCAACATGGAGAAACGTCTGCACACGCTGAAGCCACATGCGAACTTCCGCTTGTTCCTCACGGCTGAGATCCATCCAAAACTGCCCACGTCTATTCTCAGAGCATCACGTCTGGTGGTGTTTGAACCTGCTACCGGTCTCAAGGCTAATCTTCTACGATCACTTGCAACCCTACCCGCCACTCGTCTTGCTCGTGCTCCAGCTGAACGAAGTCGACTGTACCTGCTCATTTGTTGGCTCCACGCATTGGTGCAGGAACGATTGAGGTAATAGCTGTAGTAATAATTAGGAAGTTAGGCACTATTTACAAGGGAATTAGGCACAATTTCCTTTTTTTCTTCATGATGACCCACTTTTTGAAATATGAGCTTGTCACGAAAACAGCTGGTGCAGAGTGACTTTTCACGAAATTTCCCTTGGGGAAGTTTGACTTAAAATTTGTCTTTGGGGATGACAAGAGAACCCGAGTAACGGCGTCAGGGACGTTTTACACGAACAAGCGTGATGTCCGTGTTCGGGGGTCAGACTACTCCAGAAACAATATCTGCGGTATCTTACGGAAACAACTCTTGCGAAGTCTACCCCTAACGACAAATTTATGGCGAAATTTACCACTATAAACTGGTATATGATCAGCTGAAAAAATGCTTGCTGCTGAAAAAAATTCTCAAAGTTCTGAAAATAGGGGCATAGAGGGGAGAAGGTGACAGGACAATTCTCTTCAGAAAGTCACATTCTAATTTGTTCCTTTCAGATACACTCCTCTTGGTTGGGCCAACGCGTATGAGTTCTCTGACGCCGATCTGCGTGTCGCTTGTGATACGCTGGATGCAGCGGTCGATGTAGTCGCACAAGGTCGTGCTAATGTAGCGCCAGAAAAGCTCCCATGGACAACTCTCAGAACGCTGCTCAGTCAATGCATTTACGGAGGAAAAATTGACAATAACTTCGATCAGGTATGACTTGAGTGGTAACCTTTTGGAGTATCAAATCATCCTTTCAGTTATTTCGGTGTTTTCTTAGGTTCTGCTCGACTGTATTCTGGAGAGGCTGTTCACGGCAAAGAGTTTCGAGCCAGAACATGTACTTGTCAGTAAATTCGATGGTGACACACCACTAACCACTCCAGACGCAACACAACGTGACCAACTTCTAGCTTGGGTTGAAGGAATCAAGAGTCAGCAGGTAGGCAGGCCTTTTTTGGAATTTCTGGCGCTGTTCACCCTTTTCGACCTCTCTTTTGGGAACCAGAGAACTAGAAATACCGGAATAAAACTATCGGTTACCGGAACTCGTCTTCGGGGTTAGTCGAGAACCTGAAAAGGACACGCTGGAAGCTCCTCTCGGGTGTTTCAGCACCGGTGCCGCAGTCCCAGGCGCTGAAACACTTCAAATCATCAACACCGTTTATACCTTGTCTCAAAGTCTGGTATTACCACCTGAACACCAGTACTGCTTTGTTTGGAAACGCCCCGCACCTACCAGCGTTTGTT